GATCCAGTAATATTTATCAGGGGAGAAGATGTTTTGGGAGGATCACAGCGAGCTCTGTTAAAGAGATTATTGGGTTTACTGCTGGGATTCTGAAGCCAGACTGAATCATCAGATCAGGCTTCACCATACAGCAACAGTTCTGTATGTTCCCATTGCATTCAATCAGTGGTTATATAAAGTCAGTCAGTGCATGCTGCAGTAGCTTATGAAAAATGGAGCACATTTTACTTGTTTCTTTTTGTTTTGTATTTCAAAAAGAATGGTAAGAACACTTTGCATAGGAAGGATCTTAGCACAGGCTCGTGTTTCATCCAGAGAAAACAAACATAGCGGATCTTTATTTATAACTAGAAGAACGCTTTGTGGATTCGCTTTGATTCCATCCCTGTGGAATCAGTCAGTCATTCTCTAGCTGTCGTTTTCCATCTATCTTTGCTATGAATAAAGGATGTTTTCAGCAACAGCAATTGCTGATATTGTACACTTCAAGGCCATTTGAAATGCCAGTGCTGAATGTGTTAGATTTCATGTCCTCTGGGCAGCTAGTTAAACCATACACTGAATCTGAGGTTTTTGACATCTAAAGGCCAGTTCACACCAAGGACAATAACTACAATGATAACTATAAAGTTTTAATAACTCTAATTCTGTGAGAATAGGGAAGTCTACACCACAAATATAACAGCACAGGGGAACGATATCTTTGGAATCACTTTCAGAATGATTATTTTTTCCAGCTGATGTATGTTAAAAATACTGACAATCAGAATCCATTCTACTTTAAAGAGCTTGAGCATTTTGTGTGGACGTTAATATAGTTATCGTTTTGCGGTGGTTATCTTTATAGTTATCATTCTTGGTGTGAACAGGCCTTAAAGGAATAGTTTACCTCGAAAATTAAAATTCTGTCATCATTTACTCACCCTTATTTCGTTCCAAACCTGTTTAAGTTTCTTTCTTATGTTGAATGCATAAGAAGATATTTTGAAGAACCACAGTTGTTGGTCCCCACTGACTTCTATAGTAGTGAAAGAAATACTATGGAAGTCAATGGGGACCATCAACTGTTTGATTACCAGCATTCTTCAAAATATCTTCTGTTATGTTCAACATAAGAAAGAAAGTCATATAGATTTGGAATGACATGAGAGTGAGTAAATGATGACAGAATTTTCATTTTCGAGGTAAACTATTCCTTTAAGTGTCTTGTTTGTGGTGCTTGCTAAGCTTCGTCATTTCTCTTGATCATACTTTTATTAAACATCCATGTGTAACCAGTTCTGGACTTTAAAGGATGCGCAATATATTGGTACCATATTTTCAAATGTACCTGTTTTGCCTCGTATTGCATATTTAATTATGCATGTTCATGTGTGCTAATTTTACATATAGATTACCTTCACTGTCATCTAACACTCATTTGAATTAATCTCTAAAAAAAAACTAATGATTTAATAACAGTTAAATGTAATCTTTTGCAAATCGCAAATTAATATCCATTTTTCATCTTACAATGTTTTATGTAAAGTCACTAGTAGCATTTAAAATGATTATTTACAAAATATAGTATTTTATTATCAGAAATATTTTGGTTATCAGCAATCATGATCTGTGCATCCTTACTTTACCTGGCTCAGGTAAATGGGTGAAAATATTGGGGATTGGTAAGTTTTGTTTTTTTTATGTTAATGTTAAAGTCTCTTATGCTCACCAAGGCTGCATTTATTTGTTGAATAAAATAATTTCTTAAAAAAAATAAAAAAAACATACTGACCCCATACTTTTGAACAGTAATGTACGTTAGAATGACTTGAGTCAAATCTAGGGATCAGAATTTTGTAGAAATTTGGAGATGGGCCAGTAAACAACTACCCTAGAAGCCTTATGGCGCTTTTCCACTGCGTGGTACGACTCGGCTCGGCACGGCTCAGTACGGCACAGCATGGCACGGCTCGATTTCCACTGCAGTTTAGTATCTCTTTAGAGTGGGCGGGATTATTCACATGTCGTTAGTTGCGCCGCCTCTACTGCCGCGACTTCTGAAAAACCCACACAGCTACACACTAAAAAGCACCTTAACAGACACTTAGCAACGCCCTGGCAACCACCCTAGAATTTATTTTTTGCTTGTTGGTACTCTCTTTTTAATAAACCCTCTGCTTTAAGTCTTATGTTGTATGTTGGAGTAACTTTCACATCAATATGCACATTGTTTATAGAGTCTTGTTTTTAGACCAGTAGTTCAAAGATCAGTACAAACCTCTTAATAAATTGTGAGGGGTTTTTCCAGTTTAGCTTAGATCACGAGTTTCAGTTCACTCGGTGTCCATCTATTAATTGTGATGTTTTTCTTTGGCAAACGCAGCACTGAAAGAAGAATGAAATGGTGGAAACTGAAATGAATAAGTGAGAGTCTTTAGTGTCTGTGTGGGTCACAAACAGGAGGGGGTCTGGATTTGGTTTTGAAAGAGAAGAGTCCCCTCAATTCCCCCTCCCCACAACGTGAGAAAAATAAAACAAAGAGAGTAATGTGGAGTGCGACGGGCCGTCTCTTTCAGGATCTCTGCGCTCCGCAGCCTGGATTAGGACAATGAGAGCCAGCACAACATACACACTCATCAAAAAAAAAAAAAGACAACAACAAGGTCTCTGTTACTTTCGAGAAGAAGCATTTTTGCTTTGTTAAAACGACAAAGCAGATCAGCCTTGGCATTTTGTCTTCATCCATCACATAGAACACAAATCATTTACAGAGCTCATAAATGTTTGGAGATGTCCAGAAATTATATGCTCGGCCTGTTTTTTCTTTTTCTTTTTTTTAATTGAAGCGCTGCACCATGAAAATTGGCATGGAGCACCCCGAGCCTTAATCTCTCTGAAAATAAACATGAATCCTCCAAAGGTCACCCAAGCGGGATCCATTCGCTCTATGTGTTGGTGGAAATGTCACTGTAACTGAATGGAACCAATGAGGTGGATGGGATTTATTCCCCAATATATAAGTCCAGTATTGATTATGACAGCATTGTCACATTCTATCTAATCTGAAGGTCATTTGTGTCAAAGGGTGCAGGACTGTCCTTTTATTTTTGTGACTTGGATTGGAGGACAATTGATGTGGGAGGGTTCAAATTTGCATGCATCAAGATAGCAGACTGAGAAAGAGTGAGGTTGTTGGAGCTGCATGCTTTTGCTGTCCCTTCACAGACCGGTCTGCCAGGGCTGCACTTGGATTGACCCATCATGAGCTGAGTTTCTTCACTCTTCCACTAGTCTAATGCATGTGGAAAACTGAAACTGACAGAAATATACTCTCTATTCATAGTTCTCACAATTTCCTTCTTACAAATAAATATCATGTTAAGGTGCACATTATCTAAATTTCGTTTGGGGGGAAAAAAATATTTTCCATTGTCAATAGTGACTTACAGAAGTCACTTTCAAACCAAGCAGCTTTCTGTTGGTCAGTGATCAATTTGAATATGAGCTAAATCTGCATGGGGAATTTTTTCGCTTCACACAAAACACTGATTGCTTGGATTTCAATTGAAATGACTGGAATTTGTTTTACAATCTGATGCTACAAACAACTTCTCTTATCTTCTAGTTTTTCAGACCATCTATGGCTGTGTTTATTGAAGCCAGTACACTGATCTGGAATTTTAAGTGTAATGTTAAAGCGTTAGTTCACCCAAAATATAAAAATTGTCATGAATTACTCATGTCATTCCAAACCCATAAGACAGTTTATGTTTTCAAAACACAGATGAAGATATATTTAATGAATCATAAGGAAATTTCTGTCCCTCCATTGAAAGTCCATTAATCCGAAACTTGGACACTTGGAAAATGGAAACTCAAATGCTTATTTGATGCAGAAGTATGGTATAGTTTCTGTTTAACTTAGGGTTGCAAAGGGGTGGAACATTTCCAGAATCTTTCCAAAGTTTTCCAAAATTTCAGGAAAATTTGCACCCCTAATTTTACCATATTTGGTGTGCTCTTTATAGTGTGTTGATCAATGTTCATGTGTGAAAAAAAAAAACACCTAAATTAAATATTTTGTTTACGTAAAACACCCGTGTCCCCTGAGGAGACTTGAATTAAACCTCAGTTCATGTTATTTGCTTTTACAATGTATTTGAGTTTTTTGAAGCAAATTAGTCATTGTAGAGCCTGTATTTTTAATACTTGTAATAACATATGTTTGACACCGATACAGAAACGCTGTATTGCATATTTCAAACTGAAGGTGTTATAATTTTCATGCATGCAAGAAATTGGCTCATGATCCTGTGCCTTTGAAATGGATTAATGGTGTATTATTGATAGGGCATCAGATCAAACACAAGAGCAGATCCTGACAGACTTGGCTCTTCATATCTGCGAAGGGTCTCCATGGCAACTGGTTTTAAAAGGCACTTTCCTCCTTTGCTTCAGGACTGTTTATTTTTATCTAGCTCTGCCTTTCTGAGAAACCAGATGCAGCACCTGAAAAACATGAACAACAAAAGAATGTCTTTGTGATATTCTAACTCGCTCTTGAAACACCTCCATGATAATTCTGCAATAAGTGGAATTCATTTAAAGGGGTGTTCAAACGAAAATGAACGTTCTCTCATCATTTAATCAGCCTCATGCTGTTCCAGACTTATAGAAGAGTGTGTACGCAGCACTTTTCCTACACAAGACATAACATTTTTCAGTCTGTGACCTGAAATGGAGTATATGGACTACTTTTATGACAATTTTATGCAATTGTTTGGTTAGTTATTTTAATTTAACTTATTTTATTTTATTTGTATTTATTTATTTTGTTTTTGTGTTTTAAAGCAATAAATATAATTTAATTCATGAGAAAACAAAAAGTAAATCTAATATGTATATAAAATGTAAAAGAATACAGTACAATAAAAAGCCATGTGCTAATCAAAAGTTGACATGGACTATAATGTTTAGCCCTATATCAGTAACTGTATGTTTTTGTATTATTTCCACAGCCTCAGTTCATCAAGCCCCACCCACACTCCCAAAGACTCCGTCAGCCTATCAGACGTGAAGGCAGGACTATTAGACATCTTGTCCAGGGAGAAAACAATTAATTCAGGTATTGATTCCTTTCAATCAGTCAGTTGGACATTGATGGTCTCATCCACATAAAACTGTCATGTTCAATCTCGGTTTGCCATTAGAGGACACGGTGAAATTGGCCCTGTGTGACCAGGCCATTGTCTCGGGGCATGATGGTCTAGCTGGTGGCTGCACCTGGGAGGACAAACTGTGTGAGCAGCAGGAGCAGCTGGAGAGGGAGATGCAGGAGGCGCGGAAAATGGTGTCTAGCCTACAGGTGACACTAACATATATCATCTCCTAATTTAGTTTGAATTGCTTCTAGAGGCTTATAACAGATGTTTTTGTGTGTTTTATAGGCTCTCCTTCTCCATGGTTCATTACCCGAGGATGAGCAGGAGGTGTCGCTCAGTCTTGGTGAGGGAGTTGAAAATGCGGAGCAGCAACTGGTGTGTATCTTTATTTCTGTCCCAATTGTGTTTTACCCCAAATTGGCCTCTTTTCTTCCATATCCTGCATATCCCTCCCTTTTGATAATATGTGTCTTCCTATGCCCCTCCCTCCCCCCATCTCTCTAATTCTCTCCTGCTCTTTCACTAAGCTCTGTCAGGGCAGATCATGTTACTCTCACGGTGAACTTTGCTTTGTTTGTGGGAGAGACGCAGGTATCCGGCATTTCTCTCCTTCTCTCCTACAGTGTCTGTTTCTCTCTTCCATTTCTTTTCTAGGTTGTCGTGTAAACTAGTTCTTTCTGTATTTAGTGTAGTGTGTGCTGTAGTTAAGGTGGTTTTGTTTTGAAGTAGCAAAAACCCTCTGTTGTGGTGCTACAGGTTGTAATACGAAGTCGCCTGGACCAAAGCATGGAGGAGAGTCAAGAACTAAAGGTGGGTATTTTTGTTCTGGGCTGTTTCAGTTTTGTACATTATTGAGTGTGGCAAGATTAATTGCATCCAAAATAAAAGTTTTTGTTTACATAATATATGTGTGTGTACTGTGTATATTTATATGCATGTATGTGTATATATATGCATGTATGTGTATACATATATATATATAAGAAAAATATGTTACGTTTATATATTAAATATATTTATATATGATATAATTTAT